GTGGAGTACAGGTTTTCAAAATATTACCTGATGATTTTCTGTATTTCCTCCATGTCTGTGGAATATCCCCCTATTCATTTCTGATTTTGTTAATCTGGATATTCTCTCCCTGTCTTTTGGTTAGTTTGGATAAAGGTTTGTCTATTTTCCTAATTTTCTCGAAGAACCAACTCTTTGTCTCATTGATTCTTTGCATTGTTTTTATTTATTTCAATTTGTTGATTTCAGCTCTCTGTTTGATTATTTCCTGCCATCTAGTTCTCTTAGGTGAGTTTGCTTCTTTTTGTTCTAAAGTTTTCCAATGTTCTGTTAATTAAACATAGTGGGTAATTTTTCCAGCTTTTTTATGTAGGCATTTAGTGCTATGAACTTTCCTCTTAACACTGCTTTCATTGTGTCCCATAAATTTGGGAATGTTGTGTGGTCATTTTCATTGAATTTTAGGATGTCTTTAATTTCTTCCTTTATTTCTTCTTTGACCCATTGATGATTCAGGTGAGCATCATTTAATTTCCATGTGTTTGTGGGTTTTCTGGAATCAGTATTGCTGTTGACTTCTAGTTTTAAACCATGCTGATCTGATAAGGTACATTGGGTTACTCCACCTTTTTTTTGCATTTTTGAGGTTTGTTTTGTTACCAAGTATGTGGTCAGTTTTTGAGAATGTTCCATGGTGTGCTGAGAAGAAGGTATATTCTTTTCTGTTTGGATGAAGTATTCTATAGTTGTCTGCTAAGTCCATTTGAGTCATAACATCTGTTAGTTTTCTATTTTTCTGTTCATTTTTTGTCTGACTGACCTGTCCAGTGGTGGGAGGAGAGTGTTGAAGTCCCACTATTAGTGTGTGGGCTTTAATGTATGATTTAAGCTTTAGAAGTGTTTATTTTACACATGAGTGTGCCCTTGTATTTGAGGAATAGATGTTCAGTATTGAGATTTCCTCTTGATGGATTTTTTCTGTGACAAATTTGAAATGACCTTCTTTGTCTCTTTGACTTATTTTAGCTTGAAGTCTATTTCATTAAATATTAGGATAGCTACACCCACTTGTTTCTTAGGTCCATTTGATTGATATATGTTTTCCCAACCATTTATTCTGAGATGATATCTGTCTTTGAGGTTGAGATGTGTTTCTTGTATGCAGAAGAAGGATGGATTCCGTTTTCATATTCAATCTGTTAGCCTGTGCCTTTTTATAGGTGGGCTAAGTCCATTTATATTAAGGGATATTAATGACCAGTGATTGCTATCTCTTGTTAATTTAGTTTTCATTGTTGGTGATGTTAAGATGTGCATTTTCCCCTTCTTTGGGATTTGCTGCTATGAGACCATTAATTGTCTGTGTTTTTGTTGGTGTAGCCATCTTCCTTGGGTTGGAATTTTCCTTTTAGTATTTTGTGTAGGACTGGGTTTATGGCAAGGTATTGGTGAAATCTAGTTTTGTCATGGAATATCTTGTTTTGTTCTTCTATGGTGATTGAAAGTTTTGCTGGGTATAGTAGTCTGGGCTGGCATCTGTGGTCTCTTAATGTCTACATAACGCTTAACCACAACCTTTTGGCTTTCATTGTTTCCAATGAGAAATCAGATGTAATTCTGATAGTTCTACCTTTATATGTTACTAGGCCTTTTTCCTTTGCAGCTCTCAATATTCTTTCTGTACTCTGTATGTTTAATCTTTTTGATTATTATGTGGCAAGAGGACTTTTTAGTGGATCCAGTCTATTTGGTGTTTTGTAAGCTTCTTGTATCTTCAGAGGCATATCTTTCTTTAGATTGGGAAAGTTTTCTTCTATGATTTTTTAAAATATATTTTCTGTGCTTTTGAGTTGAACTTTTTTTCCTTCTTCTATACCTATTATTCTTAGATTTGGCCTTTTCATGGTGTTCCATATTTCCTGGATATTTTGGGTTAAGATTTTGTTAGATTTAATGCTTCCTTTAACTGATGAGTCTATTTTCTCTATTGTATCTTCAGTGCTTGAGATTCTTTCTTCCATCTCTTGTATTCTGCTGTTCATGCTTGCATTTATGGTTCCTGATTGTTTTCTTATGATTTCTGTTTCTATAATTCCCTCAGTTTGTGTTTTTTTTTATTGTCTCTATTTCAGTTTTCAAGTCTCAAATAGATTCTTTCATGTGTTTGATTGCTTTTTCTTGGTTTTCTTTTAGGGATTTGCTGATGTCTTCCAATTTTTTGTTTGTCTTTTCCTCCATTTTTTAAGGGAATTTCTCATTTCCTCTTTAAGAGTTTCAAACATTCTCTTGAAGTTATTTTTTAGGTCATTTTCTTCTGCTTCATCTATATTTGGTTGTTCAGGTCTTGGGTGTTGTAGGGTCTTTACGTTTTACAGATGTTGTGTTGCTCTTTGTGGTTTTGCATGGATTCTTACCTTTTCTACTCATCTTTTCCTCTAACAGGTGTGGTTGAGGCTGTCTGAGGTTTTGTTGAATACTTTTCTAGGTGCCAGTTAATCCAACGCTCAGATCGTTGTTGCTCATGGTACAGTCAGTGCCACAGTTCTAGTTACCCTGTTGGTTACTCCATGTTCCTGGAGATAGCTCAGTGCTCCTGTGCTTTGCTCTGCTCCCTTGGGATTTGCTGTCTCAGGTCTACTTTAGCCTAATTTACCGGCTTTCACCTGTTTCTGTAAATCCTGGTCTGGATCCCCTCCTGCAGAAGTCCCTGGCTTGGAGTTGATCCTGCAAAGGTTTCTGGCTCAGGTCTACTGCCTCAGAGTTCCCAGGCTCGGGTTCACCCAGAATTGCAGAGGACCTGGCTCAGGCTCACTTCCTCAGAGGTCCCAGACTCATGCTCAGACCTGCAGAGGTTCCAGGTTCCTGCCTATTCCCTTTGATGTCCCAGACCAATGCCCGGACCAACGGAAGTCCTGGCTCAGGCCTAATCCCTCTGAGGTCCCAGACTCATGCCTGGCCCTGCAGAGATTTCTGGTTCCTGCCTCCTCCCTCCAGGATGTCCCACATTCACGCCAAGACTGGCAGAGGTCCTAGACTCATGCCCAGACCCACAGGGGTCTTGGCTTAGGTCTATTCCCTTGAAGGTCCCAGATTCATGTCTGGACTCTCAGCAGTCTCTGGCTCTGGCTCACCCGCTCAGTGGTTACTCCCCTGAACCTGTTCCAGTGGAGATCTCTGACTCTGGATCGTCTTATTTTTTAATAGATTCTTGAGAGTTACTTGGTCCATACTTCTGGCTAATTCTGAGAAAACTTACCCTTCTCAGATCTCTGTGATAGATATTGACATCTTATCCCCAACAGGCCAGGGACAGAGGTCCTCTCCTCTGTTCCCTCTTAGACAACCTGATTACTAGTCTTTCCTCATTATAAATAGTTTCCCAACCCCGTTATTGGGCAGAGATATGGCTAAATTACTCTTTCCCTTTTCTTTTCATTCAATTCCTTCTGGAATTGTCCCTCTCCTTCTAGCCTTTGAAGAGTCTCCTTGTGTACTAGCTGATACTTATACTTCACCCTATTCTCTTCCAGACTCCCCTTTTGACACAAAAGTATGGGGTACCTCCTTTCCTTCCATGGCTTCCCATCATCTCCCCAATTAATATCATTCTCTACTTATTACTTTTAGGTTCTAGACCTTAAGGATGCTTTTTTTTAAACCATTCCTTTACACCCAGATTCACATAATCTGTTTGTTTTTCCTGGGAAGACCCTGACATGAGAAACTATCTCAGCTTACTTGGACAGTCCTTGCCCAGAGGTTCTGAGCTATCTCCCATTTCTTCAGCCAGGCTCTGGGCACTGACCTCCTTTGTCTTAACCTGTCTCTCAACCACTTAATCCAATTATGTATATGACCTCCTATTATGCAGCCCCTTTCTCTCACTATCATAGCAAATACTGTTCAACATCTTAAATTTCTAGGGAAACAAAGGATAGGATACAGAGTCTCCCATTATAAAGCTAAGCTTTCTTCTGTTCCAGTTAAACATCTAGGATTACACTTATTCCCCAACAGCTACAACGCTCACTCTTAATGGCAGACATTACTTGCAGTCCCTCACATCTCCAACCACCAAATAAATTCTCTCGTTCCTTGGCCTGGTAGAATACCTCAGAACCTGAATTCCCAAAGAATTCTTTATTCTATCTCCCTCCATTCTGATATTTATGCTGTTGTCATATGTTCTAAATAAACCACCAATCCATCATCATAAGTTGGTTATCTCAAGTGGTTGTTATAGTAATAGAAAACTGACATACCACACCATGGTTAATTCTTGGTTTAAAAAATATTACAAACTGGGCTGGAGAGATGGCACAGCAGTTAAGAGCATTGGCTGTTCTTCCAAAAGTTCTAAGTTCAATTCCAGCAACCACATGGTGGCTCACAACCATCTGTAATGAGATCTGGTGCCCTTTCTGGCCTGTAGGCATACATACATTCATAACACTGAATATATAATAAATGAATAAATTTTTTAAAAGTCTAATATTTTAATAAATATTACAAACTACCACAGATAATATAAACTTGCTCATGGCATACTAAGACCTTGTGTTATGCTTGTAATTAGTATATTTTGTTGAATTATCTAGAAAATCTAAATCAAGCTTGAAGAATATATGGACCACTAGAGTTAAAGTTAATAAGCCTTGCTAGTGAGCATAAGAGCATCATTAAGCATTTTTTCAAAATACAAAAACAAAACCAATTCTGTATGACTTCCATTTCCTTGAACAACAACTTTTGGCTGTACTTTGTTTTTCCTTGGAAGTTTACACCTTTGCTTAGACTCACTATGTTCTGTTAATGTAGGTATTTAGTAAATTTTGTCCTGAGAGGACGGTCACAAAGCAATGTGGTTCTATCTCTAAATGTCAAGATCTAAGACAGGTGTTACATCTTTAATTTTTTTAAAGGCAGGGTCTCACTCTGTAACCCAAGTTGGCCGTGAACTAAATGACAAGATTATAGGCTTGGGTCACTATACCCACTCTGCCATTTTAATGAGAACATACCTTTACTTTGCCATTGTGTAAAATGTGAGTCCATTGATGGTCATCTTGACTGCTGGAGATAAGGAACTCTTTGACAAACATGCTAGTAAAGAGAGATTTCACTCCCTGGGTTATTATCCCAGTGACTTTCATTGTCTTTTGTAAGTCCACTTGCAACCATTCTTTTGGATCATTTACCTGAGGAAGAAATATTGGAATAATATCCTTTGTCACTATTTGCTTCCATAAATCCACAGCTTTCTTTTTAACCACACTACATTACTTATCACCCTATATAATGGTTTGTTTGCCTACTTTATTTGACTAATAATCATGAGGGTCAAATTTTTCATAATTCTTTTCTTTTTTAATCTTCTTGGGTCATGTACTTAATAGGTTTCTAGTAAGTACTGAATGAATTAAGGGACCATAGCTACTAGAATATAAAGTCTTGCAATGTAATACCCAAACTCTGGATTGAACTTTATCTACCAGGCTGTTTTCACAGATATTAGCCTAGTACTACATACAGAAATTCTTTTCTTCCAGATAGTTCATTAATGATCATTTCTTTCTTCAGTGAATGCTGTGTAAAATCATGTGATATATAAAAATGCCTGTGGAGCATCATTGACTTCCCTAAACATTCTTTTTAGGAACAGTGAACAGAAATACCTATGAAAAATGAGGGCTTCTCCTATTTTCCAAGGCCTTATTATCTATTTTTATTAGTTAAGTGGTAAATATGTTGTTCTTACCTGAGGTCTCCAGGCATTAGTTCTTCCCTGGAGATGAAGTCGAGCTTGTGAAGGAGACCAACTGGCAAACATATTGGTGAAGTAGGATGAGGCAGTAATTTGTGTATCTGATATTACTTTATTCTCCATTCCCAATGGTATGCTACAACCTAAAAGAAATAAAATTGCAATGTTGTCACATGGGTAGGCTGCAGCATAGGCTTCACTGGGTTGCATTCAATCTTCTATATATACTGTTATCATGATAATTTTCAGGCATCAACTTTTACACAACTTCCGTTATTGCTAAATGCCCAGATTTTCTGGTCAGTTCTGATTAGCTCTGCTTGATTTCAATTTCCTTATTGATAAAATTATAAGAGATGACTATTTTTGGAGAACCATATGGTTAGTATAATTACAGTAACAAACTCTGGGTTTTGTTGTTGCTGTTGTTTATTTTATGACTGTGCTGGATTGTTTTGTTTTTATCACTGATAGTTCTCTATTCTGTGATTAAAACACCTCCTCACAGTCTCAGGATGACTAAAATAGATATTCTACCCATGGTTGAGGGAAAAAAGAAAAGAATATGGGATGGCTTGGCACTTACTGCTTAAATCACAGCCCATCAACTCCATTCGAAGAGTACTGCGGATGCTAGAATGAGTAGGGTGCAAACGGATATACCGAGCAATAATTGGAGGATTAAAACTATTGTGCTTAATCCCAGATGAATCCACATTGCCAAAGAAGACCTATTAGAATAGATTATGAGAAATATTTGGAAAGTAAATATAAAGCATAAAGAATGTTGTTCTATTTACATTTCCTTCTAATTTTGCCTCTGACATTTTTTCATATGCTGACTAGATAGATGATATACATGAAGATTTTTTTTAAAGCACCAAGAAGACTGAAACAAGGTAGTTCTGTTTGGTCTGTGATTTTCTATCTTAGGTACCTCATAAAAGTTGATGAAGCCATTAGAACTTTGTAACTCCAGCATAGTATCACCTGAGAGCAATCAGAAAGGCAGTGTTTGAATAGCTACACCAATAAGCTGGTGAAATAATGGATACTTAGCTCTCATTTCACAGGAACAACAATTTAGCAGACATTTATGGACATCTTGGGATGCACATAGGAGGCTGAGAAACACTCCAAAAGCACCAACTGTAGATTTTTGATATCAGCCTGCTGCCTGTAATCCTGGCTATACACTGAGAAGCAGAATACCCTTTTTGGACTCAGATCCAATTCCACTCATGTGTAGTCCTAATACTAGCCTTATTCACCCAAGTACCTTGGAAGGGCCATTTTCATCAGTATCCCTAGTAACAATTAGCTGTGGTTTGGGTGAGCTTTTTCTTAAAGTTTTGTGTGTTGTAGTACTGATACTGAGTGTGGTGGTATTAAGGTGTTATGGTAGAGAGGATAAGAAGGCCTGCTTTGTCTTAAATTATTCAATTTGATAAAGCAACAGCCTTGACCTGAACTATTCCATTTTGAGTGTAAGAACCAAGAGATAATGACTATATATTTTGTTTACACAAGTGACAACCACTAATTGACAGAATATCAGGAGGCATAAAATGATTATTTACACTAGTAAATAATATCTCCAAATGTATTAAGTCATACCAGAAACACCAGCCACATGAATTTATCAATTCTACCTCATAGAACCCATCACTTGAGACTGTAAAAGAAGGAGCATCTCAAGATCAAAGTATGGGCCCTCTCTCCTGCTACGCCATCCCAGCTTTCGGCCTGGAACCCCTCCCGTCCTCTCTCCCTTTTTCGGGGCTTAAATTCCTCCATCTC